AGTTTGGTGAACCAAATCAGGAAACTTGACCTTCTTTAGAGCTCGTTGCAGGTTTGAGCCCAGGTTGCGTCAGGACGGGTGTTCGTCGGAAAACCGTTGACAAATCTTTCATGCGAGTTCACTTGCTGTTGCAACCTCTGCAGAAGGGAGTAGCTGAAAGAAGAACATAGTCCATAGGCATAGCCCTTGGGCCTGTCACGATAACAAATTTTGCTGGGCGATTATCTCAGAAATTATTGCGATAAATGATAATATTGTTTGAAATTTGACATTAATTGACAAATTTTAGAAGAAATGTTTATTTGTTTGGTGTGTAGTATCTTTTTTTGACCACCTGGTGGCAGTATAATATTGCTTTAAGAAAAATAGGAGGGAGGGCCCTTGACTTGACATGTGCTGACGTGGTGACATGTTGAACGCTCAGTGGTTTGAGCTCTTTAACATTTTTCACACAAAGCTTTTAATAAAAAAAAACAATTAAACAAGTTCTCAGCTTCTTTTTGCAGAGAAAAACAAGTGTCTACATGAAGGCACGGGTTTCAACCGTGAATTTTGGAACTTCGACAAGACGGAGGTTTATTCCCGAGGTCGGACGGTTAGCTTAGCTCGTAGTTTAACTTCTCAGCTTAGCTGCTTTAACGACTCAAAAATGCGATTTTGGACAGTTAAAACAGATTTTAAAGAGAAATGGTGGGGGGTCAGTGAAGAGCACCGGAGTTGAGCCTTTTGTCATCCAGTGTCTTCGGTAGAAAGAGAGACACAAAGAAACGATAAAGCCAATAAATGAAAATGAGGTTGATAATTTCATTCATCATGCGATTAATTGATTTATTGTTTATCGTGACAGGTCTAATAGCCCTACAGAACTTACACAAGGCAAGGTCAGTGAACAAGGCCAGGCTGATTCGGACAGATCCTGATCACCCACTCCATGGTGAGTTCAGGTTGCTTCCATCTGGACGCAGGTATCTGCTGCCCGGATGTAGGATGAACAGATTAAAAATCTCATTCCTCTCTGTAGCGATCAGGCTTCTCAACGAATGATGATTTCTGTATTGTTTTAAGTTTTGTCTGGTATGGATTGTTTTGTGTGCCTACTGACTGAAACAAATTGCCCCTTGGGGATAATAAAGATTCTTGATCTTGAACTTCAACAGCAAAGTTATGTTGTAATTTTGGTCAGTAGTTAAAATTGGCACTATTCGTAATTTCGTTCTCACTTGTTTTTTGATGTTGCGATACTAACGGACTCCATCTTTGATAGCAAATGCCCGTTTTTACTTTTATTTTTAAAGTACAACCTGCATTTGATTCTCTGTAGCTGCTACTTTTTCCTCACCTTCCATCCAAAGCTATGGGTGATATGGAAAAAGACTTTGACGTACGATCACAGCTCGGTGAGCTCTGCTGCTCTGTTCTCTTCTCCACAGCGACAATTAATAACCGTAATCAGTGCCAGCGTTTGACTGATGCTCCCTCCTGTTGGAATAACCGTCCCTACAGTGATTAGGACTGTGGTAATATTATTTAAAGTAATAACAGCAATGGTAACACATTTAAAGGCTTCCATCAAGCTCCTAATCACCTGGATTTATTAGATAAGAATATGTCAGACTGTCTGTAAAAGAGGCAGCTGCAGGCTATAGTTTCTTTCTGTGCGCTGGAACAATAGTCTGTGATTTTCAGTAGGAAATCAAGTCCACGTTTAAAAGGAAGTACAAGAATAGAGCTGGAAAGCAGGCTGGTTAACACCCTGCAGTCAGATCCAGCTGTTCTGGCTGACTGTTATATTTCCACGGCTGTCAATCACAGCGTTTCCTCCATTACCCCTGCAGACAGGATTTCCTCTAAGGTTAGGAACTGTGTAGGAATAGTCCTCATCGCTCATTTTGAATCTTTCGTTTAAGGTTGTTTACAGACAGCTGATCCTGTTTGTCATTGGCAAGATTTTATTTAATTTACTCTCAGACTGTAGGAATTAAAGTTGCACTCCCGGCTTTTAGCTGTGCGTTCTGCTGTAACGATATTCTTTATATTTGAGCCGGAGGGGGAAGGAAACGGCTCAGGGATTAGCGGAGCTTTTCTCTGGTAATGGAACTGCTGAGTTGGAATTGCGCCATGTGGCGGCAGGGATGTCGGTCGGAGGTTGGGGGTTACCTGCCGTTCACGCTCCATGCAGGATTAGGGCTGTAATGGCCGGCTAATAGAGCTCATATGTTGCGCTCACATGAACGCTGTGGGGAAGTCGGTGTTGGCCAGAGTTCATGTGGGATTTATAGTGGCTCAGCATGAACTTTAGAACTCTCCAAAACGAGCCATTTATTAGGCCGCTTTGGGCCAGTCTCAAATCAGCAATCAAGTCGTCCACATCGGCCTGTCACGATAAACAATGAACCAGTTAATCGCATGATAAATTAAGATTATCTACCTCGTTTTCATTTATCGGTTTTATCGTTTCTTCGTGTCTCTCTCTTTCTACTGAAGACACTGGACGACAAAAGACTCAACTCTGGTGTTCTTCACTGACCTTTCCCTTTTCTCTTTTCTTGAAAATCTGTTTTAACCGTCCAAAATCGTGTTTTTGGCTCGTTAAAAGCGGCTTTGCTACGAGCTAAGCTAACAGACCGACATCAGGGAAAAACCTCCGTCTTGTCGAAGCTCCAAAAATTCATGGTTGAAACACGTGCCTTCGTGTAAAAAGTTGTTTTTCTCTACAAAAAGAAGCTGAGAACTTATTTACTGATTTTCTATTAAAAGCTTTGTGTGACAAATACTTTGCTAAAGAGCTCAAACCACACCGAGCGTCCACCATTTTGTGAACCGAAAAACTGGAAAGACAGCCCATGTCGCGTCAAAGGGCCTCCCTCCCATTTTTCTTAGAGACGCTGCTCGCTCCCTCACTATCCATCCTTTGGTTCAAACAGTCTTATACTGCCATCTAGTGGTCAAAAAAGGTACTACATCCAAAGTAAATTCAACAGTTCTTCTTAAATTTGACAATAATTACTAATTATTGTCAAATTTCAAACATTTTCATCTATCGCAATAATTTCTGAGACAATTAATTGCCCAACAAAATTTGTTATCGTGACAGGCCTAAACCCTACACCGTCTGACCACAAACTGTCTCATCACTACATCCCACCATGCTGCTGCAATGCTGGCAGAGTCATATAGACATTGTTCATGGGAAAAGCTACTATTGTACTGGACTTTAACTGTTGGAGTCTAGTTGGTGACTCAAAATTGCCAGAAAATTACAGGAAAATCTGCAACTTTTCAGTTTCAGTCTCACTTAATGTGCGTTTGCGACCAGCGAGCCGTGCTGTTGCAAGGTTTGGCCAACTTTTCAATAACTCAGCTTTTTTTTTCTTGCAAATATGATTCTATGTCATGAATATTACAACCACAGCTTCAAAAAGGTTAGGAAGTTGTGTAAAAATGTAAATACAAACCGAATGTAAGGATTTGCAAATCTTATAAACTCTTATTTGATCCACAATTGAACAAAGTAAACATATCAAGTGTTGAAACTAAAACGTACCATTTTTATAAAGCAGGTTTTTTAAAATTTGATGGCAGCAACTAATCTATTGAAACAACCAAACAGTGGTACAAATAAAAAACCAGTTAGAGGAGGAGTTTGCAACAGGTCCATACGAGGACTAGGTATAAAAAGAGAATTCCAGAGATGCCGCATCTCTTAGAATTAAAAATGGGCACAGGTTCACCAGTCCGAGAACTGTTTCCAATAATAATAATTAAAACAATTCCTCAATGGAAAATTGGCAAGACTTTGGATTTCCCATAATCTACAATTCATAAAAACATCAAAGAACATTCTCTGATGGTATTGGGGTGCCCTAGTGCTGCTGCTTTGGACCAGTTTTTCAACCATTTTTATAATTGGAATGGTTTCAGTCCTAATGCTCTATACATGTATACACATTTGCAATGCTCGGGACAATTTACAGAGAAAATTTGTCATAAATTCTTCTGAACATGATCAGAACAGAAGCAACAAGACTGCAAGCTTCTTCGACTCACTCAAGAACACCGAGAACCCCCGTGAACATTTTGAGACATTTTAGAACGGCGTTTATCAGCTCATCTCCAGAAGCTGCAGTCCAGTGAGATACTGCTTTTAGGGAATCAAATTCTCCACAGTCACGGTTCTCAGAAGGTTTGTGGTCTGTGATTGATTTCCTGTGGAAAAATGTGGAAGTGTGGAAAGGGTCTGGTAGCAGTGGGTTAATTTGCTGCCTCCGTCTTTACATAGAAAGACAGGGACACGGTGCTGCAGGCCCATATTGAAAGGGTTTTCTTAAAGGTAGCTAGGTAAAACAACTAGTAGTTTCATCAACAACTTAATGAATATTTTTTGGAAAACTTTCTGGAGCACCTCCCTCAAAGCATGTGTGCTTCCTGATCTATAGTCACTCTTCGCGGAGCGAAGAGGGGAATTGGAAATTCCCTCCATCTGTGTGCCCATCTTGTGAGCTGGATAACTTGAAAAATAATGAGGCTTTGCCACTGTCTCAACTCTCATCGACTCCTCGTGACACTGCACCAGTTAAGAGCCTCCCAACGGTCTGCGCCCACCCCACTCAGCCCCGCACGCACACTCGGAAACAGTGTGCAGCTCAGATGTGTCTCTCGTCTACTCCCCCGTCGGCACTGACATAGTGCTAAGCTAGCGGCGCACAATACAGGTGTGCTAGCTAAAAAGGTAAAGGCAGCACTCACGCTGCCTCTTCTGTCATGCTGAACCCTCACCCCACCCCACTCCCTGACTCACTCAAAAACAGCATCAGATGTGTCCCCCCCCCCCCCCCCCCCCCCCCCCCCACCCCACCCCCCCCCACCGCACCCGCCCCCCCCCCCCCCCCCCCCATCAAGATGAGTACCCTGCCATGGCAAGTTACTTAGAAGAAACACTGATCAGCACTTTATTTTTGCATGTTCACGGTACTAAATTATTTTTTTCTTTTGTCTTCCAGGGAGCGAAGCCGAGACCGGCACAAATCTCGGAACAAAGACAGTCGCTCGGAAAAATCCGTCACGATCAACACGCCGCCAGCAGAGCCACTACTGGGCGACTCAACTGCTCGAAGTGAGCAGGCTCAGGTAGGGCTGAACGTCAACACGCACAGACTTTAATCAACCAATGACTTACAAGTTCACTGAGGATAATTATCCCCACAGGTCACTTGAGTCGATTCCTGGTTGGGTAACTGGGTTAGTCTGATTTGGAAAGGATTTGAGGAGATTTGTCAGTCAATCGAGTTGGAATCTATTAGCGCTCACGGCCTGAGCTGAGATGGGCCATCTGGTTCATCAGCGCGAGAGCCAGCAAGGCTGGTCCATCTTTGGTTTGGGTGGTTTTGGTGTGTGTTTGAAACAGGATTCAAAAAGTCGCCTCACTGAGCACTAGAGGTTCGCTTGATCCAGCGTTAAAGACGAGATTCAGTTCAAAGTGAAAAAGCAGCCTCGGTTCCTTCTGAGATGGACCAGGCTAAACCAAAAACCCCACTTCAGCTGCTTTTCACTATCGGAGCTGAACCATTATGACTCAGACATGTAAAGATATCAAAATGTGGATTATTTAACAAGAGAGAGATGTAAGGTAGGAGTCTTGCGTTTTCAGCTTAAATTGTCACAGTTTAAACACTTGCTGACGGAAAACTTTATTTTTTTTTTAGTAAGATCATGTGTTTTCCCATGTGGGCATTTGTGTGTTTGTCTGTCAGCAAAAATACCTTATGAACCACGGGGCAGGTTTTATTAAATGTGTGGGTAAAACTTTTGGTTGTAGTTCTTGGGAAAGACAGATCAAATATCATATCAGATCGCACCGGTTCAGCCGGACCAGTTTCTTACGGCCCGACGTGTTAAGGCGTAAAATTCACGGCAGCACTTGAGAAATACACGACTTCAAGATATTATCAACTGTGAAAGTACGACGAGCAAACGTTTTCTTGCGTTTCTTGTGGAGTTTTATCGTTATGACGCTCAGATTTGGTGGAACCTCTTCAGTCTTTATCTTGAAATGAGCTTAGACCCTAAAGCTGGTTCTTTCACTGTTTGGGCGGCTTTTAATGACAGATTTTTAGTGGTTGCAGTTCTTCAAATATTTAATTACCGTATTTTACGGACCATAAGCCACTACTTTTTTCACAAGCTTTGAACACCATGGCTCGTACAATGCACAGCTAATTTATGGATTTTTTTTGTTTTTTGACAATCTTAACGAGCTTCATGCTGCCAAAACATTTAGCCTCGTCACACCTGGGCTCTCACATAGCTGCCTAATACATGGTTCTGTTGGGGGGTGGGTTCTTGTGACTCGAGACTACCTGTATAAATAAAGCCAACAAAGTTCAGTCAGGTCATCTGGATGGTTTCTTTTTTTTTGTCCTTCATCCAAAGGACTTCATCAATTCGAGGTGCCACAAACTCATTCGCACAAGCAGCACACTCCCAGTTTGCTGGTGATATAATGGTTTCTGGGGCCCACCCTCTCCCCCGTCGACTCCTCTGAGGCAGCCATAGCCAAAGTGGTTCAAAACGTCAAAGTTCAAGAAGTGTACAAAATTTTATTTTTTAATTGGTGTGCACGGCTAATATTCAGATGCACTCAATAGTCCGGAAATTACGGTAACTGTTCCTCTTTCTCTGAAACTGCTGCTATAAAGACCGCTGTAGAGATTTTAATCATTCTCAAATGACTGGAAATACAAAAGTTTTTTATAAACTGGAGAAAAGGCATTTTAAGTCAACATGCAGCGTGAACGCTGAGCGCGCGGTGAAAAAAGTTGTAACTCTAGCTAAACGCCAAACGGAGCAAAAGGCTTACAAGAAGCTAAAAGAAGCAAAAGGCCCCCCAGAAGAAAAGTAGCAAAGCACAAGCCTAAACTAAAAAGAGGTAGCTAAAAGATAAATGTAGTAAAACCGAACCTAAAAACTAAAAGTAGGATATTTGGCTGTAATAGTAGCAAACTGTTAGCAAAAAGGTAAAATGAGCAAAATGCTAGCTAAGAGCACCAAAAGGTTAGCTAGAAGCCAAAAATTTCAAAACACAATCCTAATTTCAAAGCCTAGCTAAAACCTAAATGTAGCAAAAGGCTCGCTAGAAGCTAAAGTTGTAAAAGGCTAGCTAAAACTAGCATATTGTTTGCTAATAGTAGCATACGTTAAATAAGTTAAAAATTGCAGTTAGCTATCTAGATTAGCATCACAAAGCTGGTTTATAGCTAAAAGCAGCAAAAGGCTAGCTAGAAGCGAAAAGTAGCAAAAGTCTGGTTGAAAACGTAATAGTAGCTAAAGAGGACAAAAATAGAGCAGCTATGCCGAAGCAATTTCATAAAGAATTTTTTTTTAGGAATTTATTTGTAAACACCATGAAATATTTTGAAAGGTATAAAAGTTACAGCAAACTGGAGGAGTGGTGGCGCAGAGGTTAGAGAAGGTGGACCTGTGACCGGAAGGTCGTCGGTTCAACTCCCCCATACCAACAACATCCGAATTTAGGTGGGAAAGGTGAAGCACCCACACCTGCCTCCACTCTCATTTGCCCCGCCCTGGACCCTTTTGCTCGGTGGTCTGTGGTTGTGTCAGGGAGGGCATCCGGCGTAAAAACATTTGCCAAGTCTTCGTGCGAGTTAGTTCGCTGTGGCGACCCCTGAAGAAGAGAGCAGCTGAAATAAATAAATAAAAGTTACAGACAAGCACAAGTCATAACAGCCGTCCCGTAATGAGCTGAATGTTTTGTAATAGGAATATCTAAGATGGTATAAAAGATGCTGAAGTAGTTCAATTATAGAAAACCTCTACATAAAAACAAAATCAGGAAAACTGGTATAAAATGGTCGCTCGTCACCTTTCATGTTCTTTCTGTTTTTGTCTTGTAACTCCAAAATCAGAAGTTTCAACTTACTCATGTATGACTTTACTTACTGTTTTCAAAACGTGTGTCAAAAGATGACTACTCTCCGGAGACGGCGCAGCGTCGTGGACTGACCCACTGGGCGCTCTCTTTATTCCTCGGATGAACTCATCAGTCGACCTTCTGAACGTCTGACTCCGTTCCTGCGTCATGATGGGATTTGCCACGCGGTACGGCCATGTTGAGCAATTTTGCTCCTCATGTCTAATTCATGCCGCAGCCTGCAGAGATGCGACTGTCAGACCGGCGAGGCCTCGGCTTCAGATTGAGTGATCAGAGCTTGATATTCCACCGAGACCGAGGCTCAGCACCGATCCTCGCGTGCCTCACACAGTCTGAATGTTGTTGGGTTTTTTTTGTCTGAATGAGTCAGTCTTGCGTCTGAGTCTCTGTGTGCAGTGCCGCGCTCATTGCTCCGCTGTTGGGACTTAATCAGAGCTTTGGCTGACGAAGCACCTCATAGCCTAAGGCAGGGGTGTCCTTACCATCCAGCAGAGAAGTTTCCCATGTGGTGCCTCACCGCAGGACTGAGAAAATAAGAGTTTTTCACCAGAATGTACTGTAAATCATGACTGGAGACTGCAATTATCAGCAAAACTGTTCAGAGGACTGACCTGCGGTGACGATATTTAAACACTTGTCAAATTAGAATTATGTTTTCAAAGCAACATCATGCACATGGATTTTTTTTTCTGTTTGAACAAAGCTTGACGTATGGCTAGAATCCTAATGCTATGTGAAGCTAACCCTAAATGAAGTTGCTTTGGAAATGGAAATGGAAAGGATCATCTGCGAGGGAGTTTTCATATTAAAGCCAAAAGGACTTTGATGTCTCCACAACTTAGAGGAAGGAGTGGTGGTATGTAGATGGAGTGAAGTAGCTACGTAGCCTCACACGCAGGAAGTAAATATGAATAATGTGTACATTGATTCTGAAGTTATGCAGTCTAGTGTTTTCCCTAGATCACCTCCTTTGGTGGGGGCACTCATCGTATTTTTTAATTTTTTTTTGTCGGGAGCAGGCCGGAGTTACATCTGTGTCACCCGCCTGCTAGCTTATCACTGACAGATGGGATGGGATGGAGTCGTGTGTGTTGCTTGCCCGCTAGCTTAGCGCTGTGTTGCTGCCAGTTTTTATCGACTGGGGGGTGGGGGGGTTGCACATCTGCGTTTAGCGCTATGTTGCTGCTGGTAATTGTTGATTGGGTTGGGGGGTAGCGGAACGGGAGATCAGCAGAATTTTTTTCTAGCCCATTTGTATTGCTCCCTGCGCTACATCAGTACTGTCAGTTGTTGATGGGTTGGGGGTGGGGTTCGATAGACAGGGCGCTCAGTTATGTTGAAGAAGCAGGGCGCCCATTTGTATAATGATAATAGGCCTGTCACAATAAACAATAAATCAATTAATCGCACGATAAATGAAAATTATCGACCTGATATTCATTTATCGGCTTTATCGTTTCTTCGCATCTCTTTCTACTGAAGACACTGGATGGCAAAAAGCTCAACTCCGGTGCTCTTCACTGACACTTCCCTTTCTCTTTTCTCTTTAAAATCTGTTTTAACCGTCCAAAATTGCGTTTTCCGATCGTTAAAAGCAGCTAAGCTGAGAAGCTAAGCTAACAGGCCGACCTTGGGGAAAAAAACCTCAGTCTTGTCGAAGCTCCAAAATTCACGGTTGAAACCCGTGCCTTTGTGTAAAAAGTTGTTTTTCTCTGCAAAAAGAAGCTGAGAACTTGTTTACTGATAAAAAAAATAATAATAATTAAAAGCTTTGTGTGAAAAATGCTATGCTAAAGAGCTCAAACCACACCGAGCGTCCGCCATTTTTAGAACTGAAAAACAGGAATGAGAGACAGCCCATGTCACGTCAAAGGGCCTCCCTCCCATTTTTCTTAAATGCGCACGCTGCTCGCTCCCTCACTATCCATCCTTTGGTTAGTCTTATACTGCCATCTGGTGGTCAAAAAAGGTACTACACGCAAAACAAATTCACAAACATTTCTTTTTAAATTTGACAATAATTACTAATTATTGTCAAATTTCAAACAATATTATCGTTTATCGCAATCATTTCTGAGACAATCGTCCAGCAGAATTTGTTATTGTGACAGGCCTAAATGGTAGGGGAAACACTGCAGTCGGAGACATGTTTGCTTCATCCAGTGTTTACATTTGATCT